CAAAACATTTTTTTTTTTTTTTTGCTTTTGTTTTTCCCTGAATAATCGTCTGTTTCCATTTGGTTTGGGTTATTTCCTTCTCCACTGATTTCAAACCCATCCCTACACAGCATGTCCAATTTATTGTTAGTGGTTGCTGCATTGTCTTCTACCCGATTGTGTAATTCTGCCTTCGGCGTGGAGAGACACAGGGGGAGTGTGTGCACAGGCTCTTCCCTCCTACCATGCATTCCTGGTGGATTGGGAGGGGTGAGGGTAAGTTTGGGGGCTTTATATTCACTGTGTGTAAGAGACTGTCTCCCATCCCTTTGTTCTTTGCTCATTTTGTATAGCAGTGAAGTAGGAATTACACAAGGCTGGCCCTAAGCTAGTCAAGTATCTATTTATGTCCTTCTCAATGTAATTGAAAAATATTTTCCATTTATTCTTCAGTGTAAATTACACAGTTAAAAATATTTCAAGGGCAACTCTTTAAATAAACTTCATTTTATTAAAGAAAACTTGATAAATAGAATTTTTTCCTGTAAAAAATCCCCTGACATTTGAAATATTAAAAAATAGCAAAGATCACTTGTTAATCAAAGCTACTGTTCATTGTACTTTGTCTAAGAGAAAGTTACATTGAAAAAACATAATGTAAATTGAATAATGATTCATTGTCTAATGCCGTATCCACTGAGGGTAAGTGCGATTTTGTGTCAAAAGAAAGTTCTCTCTTTAGTTTGTAGTCATCAAAAGATAAGTGCATACCCATCATTCAGTCCTGTTGAAGGCGCACAGAAATCTTTCTTCATTTCAAACGTTCATTAACCTAATTGACTAAATAACAGTCAAGAGGAAGTTAACTCTTAATGTGGCTCACATTTCTTCTCCAAGTTTAGTTGCTATTTTTTCATAAAGATTCACAGGTAGAAAATTCTCTTGCCTGAAGAGGATATTTCATGTACAGTCTTGAGCAAAGCTCTTCAGAGGAGGAAGAAAAATCCCTATTTTTTGTCAAGTGTGTTCTTTCATGAGCAGCCCAAAACCTTGGCAAAGGATTGTACAATTATGAATTAGGGATTAAAGTTAAGGTCCTAGATATATCTGCTGACAGGCTGGTAAGAACTGATATTAAGTGGGAAAGTGGCCAGATTGTATGAACAGGGCACTATGGAAATATACAGAATTTTGCCCTCACTTACTGAAACATGATCTGAGAAGTCAGGTGGTAACCTCACCTGAGCAAGGAATGTCTTGAAGACAGAGGACCTGGATGCACTGCATGCCAAGTTGCACACATTCAGCAGCATCAGGAACATGAGGGTCAGAAACTGAGCTTAAAGCTGCCACAAATCTCTCAGAAGGCTGAACAAGTTTATAGAAGAAAGTTTATGAGTAACTGAGATGCTTATAGAGAATCGCTCTCTATAAGTCTGCTGCTATTTCTCACAAAACTGCCTTGGATCAGTGTAATACCACTGTGATTATAAGGGGGTTCTCTCTTAACAAAACACGCTGTCCTTCAATTTTTGCACCTTCAGAAGAATTAAAAACAAAAAGGTAGTAAGAACAAACGTTAAGCATGCATATACCTGTTTACCTCTCTGTGAGAAACTCCCTACATCAGGGTGAACATTTCTAGGCCTTCAGGGCTGAAGCTGCAGAGAAATTTCCACTGAATACATGGATATCAGAATTAGCAGGCTACAACAAGCACTGTTTACATGATTACAGTGCTTGGACTTGCTTTTCAACGCTTTTGATTTGAAAGGTAGGGGAGAGTAAGGAGCACAAGCAGTTTTAACAATGCACGTGGTATGGCTGTTGTGACTGTGATGTGGGGAATGTGAATGAGTGCAGTATTGCAAATTGCCTCTAAAACACATGCTTAATGCTAGCTCTCGCTCTAGGCAAAGGCTCTAGTTGCCCGTGGCAGGCCCCTGTGAGGAAAACTTTGTGGTTACATGACAAATCACCCCTCTGGTATAAACTCATTTTGCTGATTCAGATGTGCACTGGCAGTTTGTACAGCTAAGGCACTGGCTGTTTATGTCAATGCATTTGTGCTAGGTTGGATTTTGCTGGCCTTCTAGAACCAGCACACATACTGCATTATGTGCACGCATTCATCAAAAATCCAATGGTTTGTTTGTGCCTGATACCAATCACATTTGCATTTCTAGCTGGTCTGGTATACACAGAAAAGGTGTTAAAAATACAATCAATGTGACCTGAGAACTATCACTTTCTGCTTCTACTGTTTCTATAGCTGTATTAAGCTGATTTGAGTCTCAGTTCCCTGACATTTTCTTTTTGGGGTAGTTGAGCCTTGATGAAGAATCTGAATCTTGCTAATTCAAGAATAATTTTGCCTTTGTCTTTTTCATAGCCTGCCATGAGCTGGATTTGCTTAAAAAAAATACACATACACAGTAAATTGGCTACACAGCAGCTTTATTGCCCTGTTTATGTGCAACTTGCATGCTAGGAAGTTGGTTTCAGAGGTGAGAAATGTCAGCTTTTTGGATAGTTAGGACGTCACTGACTAAATAATACTGGGATGATATGTAATCAGGTTCCTGGGTTGGTAACCTATAGGTGATCTGTCCTTCATTGACGTTATTCTTAACATTCATAATGAGTTGTGGATCAGGAACATAGAATGGAGTAAAATGTCCCTTGCAC